GGATTAGTATGAAATAAAAAGTGTATTACAAAAATAAAGTCATATTAAATATTACAATGTTTTTAACATCCTCAATTTTGAACAATTTTTTTTATAAAACTATTTGCAACATTTTTTCAAAGGTTTATCAAGTTGTCCAAGTCTTTTTAAAGAAATGATATACGTTGATAGGTCTATCGAAAAAGTGAACGTAACCATTCCGCTAACTAGAAGAACTGAAAACAGGGTGAGAGATTTATTTGTACATTCATTCCTTAAAATCCTCTATCATTTTTTGAAATTATTTTACTTTGTAATATATACAATAAAACATTTTATTATGTTTTTGTTTTTCTTTGTATTGGCGGTATAGGATCTTCACTCTTAATTAAAATATCTTGTTAATTTATGTTATTTTTTGCAGTGTCTTTACATCCTTCGAGCCCCTGTCAACAGATATATGATGACCACACACAGGATCAATTCTAATAGTTCACATTTATGGGTATATTTTTTGTATAAATATAATTCTCCTAATATGAAAATCTATTTATTATGAAATCAGATGCAAGAAAATCTTTATGTGAACTAAAAATGCTAAGATATCATAACAATCAAGTTCCTCCGGAGCAAACTACTAAATATATTTATGAGAAATAATATTAACATTTAGTGTTTTGTTAATGAAAATGTAATCAAATTTTTAAAAAATCATTTTTAGAGAGGATTTTTTGGAGTGAACGATAGGTTATACATTGTTTTACCGTACACCAGAACCGGTATTGTGTGCCCAACTCTTTCAATTAGACACGTTGTCACAAAGATTTCGGGGAATTATCACCTTATCTCCATTTGACAAGTCATTTAAATGTTTCTTTCATTGTTTCTTGGTTGTTTTACATTATATTACGTTAAAAATGCAAAAATCTTTAATCTTATAAATTAGGAGTTTATGAACCCGCGAATTAAAGTTCGTTCTTTACTATAAAGTTACACTTGAATTAAAGTTAAATTTTAGCTAGTTTTAAAAAGACGCTGATGCAAATAAAAACTATAGTTATTGTTTGAAATGTTGTTCTTTATTCAAATCAATCTTTGAATGTATTGAAAAAATGTTTTATTAATGTGATGGCAATCATCTTACCAAATAAGTTGAGACAATCTGAAAAGAAATCATCTTTTTTCTATCAATTATTATTCAATAACATTGTTCATTAATATAAAAATAATGATTATGCTCTCATTTTGGATATATTTTAATATTGCAAAGTAACCTAATACTCTTAAAGTTTGTTTCTACTAAAACAGAGCTGGGATAAAATATTATTATAACTCTGGATCTTCAATGATCACGTTCTAAGGCAGTAATACTCCTCTGTTTTCATAAAATACGAATCTCAGAATGAACCTGATTTTCATTGAATGAAATTGAAATATGAGACAAAGCTTTGTCTAAAATATATTAAAATAACTAAATTGTATTTTTTTGATATGATAATTAAATTAATAGTTTGAAATAAAATAAATTTATGGAGCATTGAACATCATTCTTTGTTTGAAAATTGCGAAAATAATTTTTGAAAAAATTAAAAAAAAAACTTGTGTTACACAATAAATTCAAAAAATACATAAACTTAAAATTTAACTCTTCATCATAATTTTTAATTCATTTTTACTTAGTAGTAAGTAATAAATTTTGAGCATTCAATCAATTTCAACCCGCGCCACCTGCCATTAAGTTCAAAATTTCATTAATTCATTATGAAAAAAACTAACAAAAATGCTAAGATATTATTGAGAACTGTCAAGTAAAAAATCGCTAATGAATAAATAACTTTGGTTAATTATACATTTTAATGTGTGTGTATCAATGTATGCGTGTGTGTGTGCGCGTATGTGTGTGTGCGTATATGTGTGTGTGCGAATGTGGTGTATTCTGTAG